GAGGAGGAGGAGGAGGAAGAGGAGGAGGAGGAGGAAAGGAGGAGAGGAAGGGAGGAGGAGGAGGGGGAGGAGGAGGAGGGAGGAGGAGGAGGAGGCGGAGGGGGCGGGCGGAGGAGGAGGAGGAGGAGGAAAAAAAAAGGGGAAGGAGGAGTAGGAAGAAGAAGAAGAGACTATACTAAGAAAAGGAGGAGGAGGAGGAGGAGGAGGGGAAGGGGAGAGGGGCGGAGGCGGAGGAGGAGGAGGAGATGGGAGGAGGAGGAGAGAGGAGGAGGAGGAGGAGGAGGAAGAGGAAGTGGGAGGAGGCGAGGAGGGGATAATGATGATGATATGATGATGATGATGATAGATGATGATGAGGCGGATGATGATGATGATGATGATGATGATGTGCTGATGATGATGATGAGGATGATGATGAGATGATGATGATGATGATGAGGATGATGATGATGATGATGATGATGATGATGATGATGCTGCTGATGCTGATGATGATTGTCCTGCTGCTGATGATGCTGATTACATGATTGACGATGATGATGATGATGATGTGATGAGTGATGATGAGATGATGATGATGATGAAGATGATGCTGATGTGGTGTGATGCTGATGCTGATTGCTGGTGATGGTGAATGGTGATGGTGATGGTGATGGTGATGGTGATGGTATGGTGATGGTGATGGTGATGGTGATGGTGGTGATGATGATGATATATGATGATGATGATGATGATGAGGAGGAGGAGGAGGAGGAGGAGGAGGAGGAGGAGGGGGCGTGTGAGCGAGAGGGCCTCAGCGGTCCCGGGGAAGGGGTCTGGACCTATGGGGGTCGACGGTGCGAACAAAGACACGACGTCGGGGCTTTGGTTATCCCAGACATGCAGCTGCTCCCACTGTTTTGGTGCGTGGACCCCGGAGGTCCGGACCACTTCTTCAGGGCCGGTTTCTCGTCCTGGGTCGTGTTCTGACGCTCCCGAAGCCTGCTCAATCTTTGGGAGCGTCGGATCTCAGGGAGTCGTGCCAGCAGATTAGGCTTAAGTCGGGCCTGTCCCTCTACAGGGGGAATATTCAAAAATAGCCAAGAAATAGTCTGGGGACGATTTTTGGAGCAGTTCAGCATTCTGGAGTACTTTTGGGGTATTTTTAAGTTTTCGTCCAGTATCCCCCTGTAGGAGGACAGGCCCGACTTAAAATTAGGCTGTCAAGAAGGGCGGCCTCCAGCGCCAATGGGCAGTGGTTCCAGCAGCCCGCGGTCTGTGGGTCCCAGCACTCAGCCTTTGACGGAGGGATGCCGCTCCAGCAGCTTATGCCGACAGTGCGGGCGGGCTGCCGTCTGACAAAGGGGGACGGAGGTCAGATGCAAACCCAGAGATCCGATCCGGCCGACTCCCCGGCACGAGATGGTCGACTCCCCGGCACGATAGGCGAGATGGACAGCAAGCGGGCGTGTGCGTTGTCTCCCTCTCGCCTCTTCCTCCCCCTTTTTTTATATATATAGATATAATATTTATATATATATAAGAAAAAACATATGTTTTTTATTATTTTTATTTTTTTCCGATCCGATCCGATCCGATCCGACGCTCCCCCCAAAAGATAGACGGGCGGGATGCTGGCAGTTTTTTCGGCCTCCGGGGGGCCCTCGCCTGGCCTCGGGAGTGTCAGAGAACGACTCGAGACGGCAGCCGCGGGCCCAGGGGAGGTGGTCCGAACCTCATTGGGGTCCACGCGTCGAAAAAAATGGAGCGGCCGGATGTCCTGGGAACGGAGGTCAGCCAGAGCGCCAGATATTGCAGGATCCTGCGGGGCCGGGGGTGCACTGACCCAGGTTTGGGCGCAGGATGCTGCAGGATCCTGCAGGATCCTGCACGGCCTGACGGACCACCCTGACTCCAGATCCGCCCTACTTTGGCTTTTTTCCCAACTTACAACTGCGTCGGAAAGCCACCTATAAGAAGCCGAAAAAGTAGGGCGGAGATTTCTGCACCCAGCACAAAGTAGGGCGGAAATCCACAGAAGCAGGGCGGAAACAGCAACAGAAACGTAGGGCGGAAATTGGCATCCGCGGGGCCTGAAAAGTAAGGCGGACATTCCAGGCCCTACTTACGAATTTCCCCAAAGTAGGGCGGATCCGGAGTCAGGGCGGGGTCGACGGGCCGGGAAGTTCCCGCTCCTCCCCAGAGATCCGAAGTATTGAAGAAATCAAGACGGACGTTCTTCGCAGTTTTCGGTCTCTAGGGGCCCTCGCCGGGCCTCGGGACCGTCAAAAAACGATTCGGGATGACAAACCGGTCCTGGGGAGTGGGTCGAGACTTCTGGGGCACCCGTATTGAAAAAATCACGACATCGGATCTCTGGGTCCAGAGGCCCGCCAGAATGCCCCGCCAGGCCGACAGGGGAGCAATAGCGGGAGGAGGGTGGCAAGGGAGGGAGGGAGTCAAGGGCGCAAAAAAACGCCCCTGCCCTGGCTTACGAGGCGCTGTGCGCTGAGCCTCCGATGGGCTGACGGGATAAGCCATGCGTGATGTTCGGCGTCCTGGCGGCTTTCTAGGCTCAGGGACTTCCCAGGAGGTTTACAGACCACGCACTTGTAACCCAGGGTAGGGTCGTTTTTTGATCCCCTTAGGGAGGGAGTGCGGGAGGTGGGGAGGTGAGGTGGTCCCCGCAGCACCCGCAGGAGATCGAGAAGATGATCGCGCTCATCGCGGAGGAGGAGACGAACGACCAGGAGAAGCACGACTGGTGCACCGTTGCCGCCTCCATCTCTCGGCATCTCGCCCTCTCTCCCTCAGCCTCTCCGTCTCCCTCAGGAGGAGAGGGAGAGGCTGAGGGAGAGAGGGCGAGAGACTAAGGGCGATGAAGAAGCTGGTCCTCGCCCTCTCTCTCTCTCTCTCTCTCTCTCTCTTCTCTCTCTTTTTCCATCTCTCTCTTTTTTTCCCTCTCTCACTCTCTCTCTCTCTTCTCTTCTCTTCTCTTCTCTTTTCTCTCTCTCTCTCTCTCTCTCTCTCCCTAATCGAAGACGCCTACTGCGAATCACCGCCGCCTCCTGCCTTTTTGGAAGCGCCTGCGTGGCCGAAAGTTGGGTTCGAGCTTGGCCAAGCTATCGGGCCACGCGTTCCCCGAGTGGGTGTCGAAAGCCTTCGGGGACCACGGAGTCGGGCGAGCTATCGGACCAGGTGGTTTCCGAGCTTTCGTGCCTCCTGGCGGACGTCTTGGAGGGGTCTTGGGCCGTCTTGGAGGCCTCTGGCGGGCCTTTTGGGCAGTCTAAGGCCATCTTCAGGCCATCTGGGGCCGTCTTGGGTGCATCTTGGGACCATCTTCGCCGTCTCGGAGGCCTTCTTGGCCGTCTTGGAGGCATCTTGGAGGCCATCTTGGCCGTCTTGGAGGTCATCTTGGGCGTCTTGGGGGCCTCTCAGGCCCGTCTTGGGGCCCTCTTGGGGCTGGCTTGAAGGCCTCTTGGGCCGTTCTGGAGCCATCTGGGAGGCCTCTGGACTTATTTGGGGACTCCTTGTGCCGTCTTAGGCGGTCGGAACACCAAAACCGAGGAACAACAATAATCTCTCAAACACCTAAGGAAAATTAAAGATTTTGGCTCCCTCGGGCATTCCTGGAGCGCCTCTTAGACTCCTCTATGGCAATCTTGGAACCTCTCGGGCCCATCTTGGTCCATCTTGGCCGTCTTAGCGGCCATCTTGGCCGTCTTGGTGCTCATCTTGACCGTGTTGGAAGCATCTTGGAGGCCATCTTGGTCGTCTTGGAGACCGTCTTGGGCGTCTTGGAGGCCTCTGGAGACGTCTTGGCGCCCTCTTGGGGCCGTCTTGGGGGCCTCTTGGACCGTCTTGGGGCCATCTTGGAGGCCTCTTGGGCGCTCTGGGGGCGATCTTTCGGGCTCCTTGGGCCGTCATGAGCCGTAGGAAGGCTCGAACATTATCCTGGCGAAGGGCCCAACCATATGCAGTTATGAGTACCGCTATTGTGAATATCTTCTTCGGTGGCGCTCCCTACGGGGCCACGAATCCACGAACCGTATGAGGGGTGTGCCGAATGGAGGGGTTCCAGCGACGCGCGCGGGTCGTCCGCTGCGCGGAGCAAAGAGAGCTGGCATGGGGGTGGAACCGCACGCGAACGCAGCCACTGGGGCCTTCGGTGGAGCTCCCTACGGGACCACGAAACGTGTGAGGGGTGCGCCGAAATGGGGGCGGAACCGCATGTGAACGCAGCCATTGTGGCCTTCGGTGCAGCTCCTTATGGGGCCACGAAGCGTGTGAAGGGTGTGCCGAAATGGGGAGGTGGAACCGCATGCGGGCGCTGCCGCTAGGGCCCTTCGGTGGAGCTCCCTATGGGGTCACGAAGCGTGTGAAGGGTGTGCCGAAATGGGGGGGTGGAACCGCATGCGGGCGCTGCCGCTGGGGCCTTCGGTTGAGCTCCCTATGGGGCCACGAAACGCGTGAGGGATGTGCCGAAATGGGGGTGGAACCGCATGCGGGCGGTGCCGCTAAAGCCTTCGGTGGAGCTCCCTATGGGGCCACGAAGCCTGTGAGGGGTGTGCCGACATGGGGATGGAACCGCATCCACCTCGGAGCTCGCCCCCTTGAGCTTAGAGGTATGCCCCCTGCCTGCCTCATGAGGATCTTGCTAGTTGCACGTGCAGCTCCTTCGTCGGTATGGACGTTGACTCCCTTCTGCGGATGACCTGACCTGACCTCCTCCTCCTCCGCCTCCTCCTCCTCCTCTTCCTCCTCCCCCTCCTACCCTTTCTCCTCCTCATGTTCCTCCTCCTCATGTTCCTCCTCCTCCTCCTCCTCCTCCTCCTCCTCCTCCTCCTCCTCATCCTCCCCCTCCTCCTCCCTCCCCCTCCCCCTCCTCCTCCGCCTCTTCCTCCTCCTCCTCCTCCTCCTCCTCCTCCTTTCTCCTCCTCCTCCTCCTCATCCTCCTCCTCATCCTTCTCCTCCGCCTCCTCCTCTTCTTTGTTCTTCCCTTCCTCCTTCGCCTCCTCCTCCTCAAGCCAAGCCATTTTGGCTCAAGCCATTTTGGCGCAAGCCCCGGTGCCATTTCGTTCTGGATAGTCTCAAGATGGCGCGATGTCCCTCGAAGCGTCGATCAAGAACTTCGGCCTGACAAAACAATGGAGCGCCGCACTGCGGTTGCTCCGCGAAGGAATTCAGTTGGGTGTGCAACTCGCCCCAGGTCACTACGTTGCGACTGTCAGCGCATGCAGAAAAGCCGGGCAATGGCAACACGCGCTGTCAGTGTTCAGCGAGATGTGGGAGGCGAAGCTGGAACCCAACGTCAGCTATACTCTGACGCCGGGGGCGCTGCGTGCCAGAAGGACGCAGGACCCGGTGGCTCAAAACCGCTCCGGGCTGGCCCCGGGGCGCTCGCGGCCGCCCAGGGAAGCCGGAAGACGGGCCAAGAGGGCCCCAAGACGCCCCCAAGACGGGCCAAGAGGGCCCCATGACGCCCCCAAGACGGCCCAAGAGGGCCCCAAGACGCCTAATGATCGGGCCAAGACGCCCAAGATTGGCTCAAGGACGGCCCAAGAGGTCTCAAGACGCTCCAAGAGGCTTCTCCAGAGGATCCCGAGAGGCAGAAATTCGGTGGATTTCAGTAGGTCTTCCGATGTTTTTTGCAGTCTCTCTTTGTCGGCTTCCCGACGCTCGAAGGCCGCCCAATAGGCCCCCAAGACCGCTCCAAGACGGCCGAAAAGGTTTCCCAGACAGCCCAAGAGGGGCCCAAGATGGCCCAAGAGCCCCCCCAAGACGACCCAAGACGGCCCGAAGAGGGCCCCATCAGGGGGCGGCCCGATCTGACCTTTCGCGTTTCCGCTCCAGGATGGTCCCGGACACCGCCAGCTGGCCCCCAAGAGGCCCCCCAGGCGCCCCCGAAGGCGCCACAGCGCTAAAATACAACCCAGGAGGGCCCCAAGAGGCCCTCAAGACGAGACGGGCCCCGTGAGGCGAAAATCACTAATTTCCCGCATGTTTTTCAAGGGTTTCAGCGTGTTCGCATGTTCGGAGTCTTCACGCTCGAAGCTGGCTCCAGGGCCCCCAAGATCGCGCCATGAGGGCCCAAGGGGGGCCCCAAGAGAGCTCCCAGACAGCCCAAGAGGGCCCCAAGACGGCCCAAGACGGCCCCAGGAGTGCCTCACGAGGTGAAACTCCAATTGGCATTTCGCGCCCAGGAAGACGGCCCAAGAGGGCTCCAAGAAGCCCAAGAGCGCTCCGAGACGCTCCGGGAGGGCCCCAAGACGGCCCAAGAGAACCTCCGAGAAGGTCCAAGAACGCTCCAAGACGCCCAAGATAGCCCCCCGACGGCCCAAGAGGCCTCCCAAGACGCTCCTCGAGACGGCCCCAGGACGGCTCCTGAGGGCCCCCAAACACGCCAACAGGCATCCAAGACGGCCAAAGAAGGCCCCAAGAGGCCCCCAGGAGACTAAAAATAGAGCCCGAGAGGTCCCCAGGCCTTCCGAAGACGCCCGAAGATGACGGCCGACGAGCCTCCCAACACAGTCCCCGAAGCGACTTGGACGCACCAAGACTGCCCAGGAGGTGCCCGAGATTGCCCAAACGGGCCCCTGGAGGGCTTCAAGAGAACCCCGAGACGCCAAAGGGATGGCGAGCCTGCAGCGCTCCCTGGTGCATGCATGTGCATGCCACGCGCCTGTCGAGGGTGCCGGGCGCCGGGGCCGAGCTGCTGGAGCGCTTCGACGGCTCGGGCGCGCAAGCGCGTCGTCACTGCCGCCGCCATCAGCGCCGCGGCCGCCGCCACCGCCGTTCCCTGCCGCCACCGCGTCGTCGTCGCCGCCACCGCCGCCACCGCCGCCACCCCCGCCGCCGCCGCCGTCGTCGTCATCGTCATCATCGTCAGCGTTGTCATCATTCAACTCCGAGGTTCCAGGGGTTTATCTGTTCTGCCCGCGCTCCGCAGGCCCATCAGCCTCATCATCATCACCATCACCACCATCATCATCGTCATCATCTTCGTCATCTTCACGTCCATCATCATCCCCTGGTTCACACTTGTGTATCTCACACAGGATGTTCCCGCGGGGGCCCCTCTGGACACCTATGGAAACCCGAGCGTTCTCCCCGTGTGCCCCTGCAGATCGCCCCCAAACTTATGTAAAACTACACATGTCAACCTCAGTGGGGTCCCGGACGCGCCGCCGAAACGGGCCTCCCACAAGGGGGCCTCCAGGAAGAACCTAAAAAACCATTGGGTTTCCAAGCGTTTCCAGGGGCACACGGCGTAATTCTTCGGGTCTTCGACATTGCGCGGGGGCGCCGGCGCCCCGACGAACCCACGCTCCCTTCCAGGCATCTTGTCATTACTTCGGGGCTTTCGTCTGTCGGAGCCCCGCGGGCTGAAGCGGCCCAGCAGTTCAAACTAGCCGCGCGCGGTGCCCCCCCCCCCGAGCCCACTCCAGTCTATCCTACCTTTGGGCCCAACGTTCCAGACCTTCCCGCCGCTAGGTCCCTGCGCGCACACCTGGTCGGACGCGATGAGACGCCCGGCAGCTGTTGGGCGCACTGCAAGGGCTCGGACATGACGGCGCGGTCTCGCTGCCGCCGCCCGAGCCGCCGCCGCGTTTGCAGATGTTCGGTGCAATTTGCGCCGTTCCTCCGAGAACCATTCCAGAAATCTGTCGTGGACGGGGTCCACGGGTCAGCCCTAGTCAGCTACAACGTTGGGATCAGCGCGTGCGAGAAGGGCGGGCAGTGGCAGCGGGCGCTGGCGCTGCTGAGCGAGATGCGGGAGGCGAAGCTGGAGCCCGACGTCATCAGCTACAATTCTGGGATCAGTGCGTGCGAGAAGGGCGAGCAGTGGCATCGAGCGCTGGCGCAGCTGAACCAGATGTGTGAGGCGAAGTTGGAGCCCAACGTCATCAGCTTCACCGCTGGGATCATCGCGTGCGCGAAGGGCGAGCAGTGGCAGCCAGCGCTGGCGCAGCTGAACCAGATGTGGGAGGTGAAACTGGAGCTCAACGTCATCAGCTACAACGCTGGGATCATCGCGTGCGGAAAGGGCCGGCAGTGGCAACCGGCGCTGGCACTGCTGAGTGAGATGCGGGAGGCGAAGCTGGAACCCAACGTCATCTCTCCTACAATAGCCGGGTCCGCGCGTGCGGTGCGGAGCGCAGTGGCAGCGAGCCGCCCCCCCCCCCCGACCGCTTCGGGGTGGCCGTCGGGGTCGCTTCGAAGCCTCTGGAGCGGCTCCGATCTGGAGCGGTTCCGATCGCGCAGCGGACGCTCCGTGACTGCCGAAGATCCGCTCCAGACGCCCCCAAGACGGCCTCAGGACGGCTCAAGACGCCCCCGAGCTGCCCCGAAAGACCTCCGAGCGGGCCCTTTACGACGCAAAAAATCGTCCCATCCCCTCCGTAAAACGTGCATTTTTGGAGAACTCGCTCTTCTGGTCTGCGCGGCGTCCAGGACGGTCGACGACGCTTCCAAGATCGTTTCAACACGGCCCCAGAGGCCCCCAAGAGAGCCCCAGTCGAGACCAAAACGGCCCCTCAGGGCCCCAAGACGGCTCGCGAGGGACCCACGAGGGCCCCCAGAAGCTCCCAAGAGAGCCCCGAGAGGGCCACGGGAGGCGCCCAAGAAGGCCTCCAAGTACCCCCAGAGCGCCCCAAGACGGCCCGTGCCCCCCAAGACGGCCCCGGAGGGCCCCAGAGCGGCCCCAGAGCGCCTCAAGAGGGCCCAAAAGAGCTTGGACAGGACCCTCCACGAGGCTCCCAAGAGAGCCCCAGGAGGGCCACAGGAGACGGCGCAGCGGTTAGGAGCGTTCAGAGCGGTGAGAACAGCGAAGACGGCCCAAGATGGCGGGGGTCGGAGCGGTGCGAATTGCCAAGATGGCCCAAGATGGCTCTAAGAGGGCCTCCGAGGGCCACTATCGCATACTGTAGGCCCGCTCTAAGCGCCAAAGGGGCCTGCGGAGCATTTTTCTAAGGAAAAGTGCTTGTAGATCCCTGTGGGGGCCACTTGACAGGGCACGGTGGCGTTTTTTTTGTCGTGACGACGACGACGACGACGACGACGACGACGACGACGACGACGACGACGACGACGACGACAACGAAGACGGCAACGACAACGACAACGAGCCCTCTCCCCACCCTCTTGAGGCCATGCCGTGTTTCGCTCTTCTGGTGGGCCAGAATCGCTTCGGCCGGCCCCGAAAGCGCGCAAGCCGCCCAGGGCCAGGTGCATTCTGCCACAGAGAGGCCTCTCGGGGCAGAATGGTGGGCCCGCGCCCGGCGGCGTCCTGGGGCCCTCTTGGAGCTCTCTTGGAGCCCTTTGGGGGCCCTCTGGGGGCTGGCGCGACCCACCCGTGGTTCGGCAACCCCCGCCGCCAGTGGCAGCAAGCACAGGTACACACCAGTCTTCTCTACAATGCAGGGACCCGTGCGTGCGGGAAGGGTCCCTGTCTTGATCGAGCGAAAATACCCTACAACGGCTCTGGGGACGCCCCAGAGGCGCTCACGCGGCCCCAGAGGCGCCCAGGACGGCCCCAGACACCCCCAAAACGGCAAGAGCGCTCCAAGAGAGCTCCAGACCGCCGAAAACGGCCCCGACAAGGCCCAGGAGGCCTCCACGACGGCCCCAGAGACGCTCAAGAGGCGTCCCAGGATGGCCCCCACAGGCCCAATTTTCGCTCGCACTGCTTTTCGGGAGTATGGCGCAGAAGATGGGACAAGAGGTCCCCACGACCGCCCCAAGACGGCCCAAGAGGCCCCCCAGAGGCGCGAAAACCGGCCCGCGAGAGCGTCAAGAGACCCAAGAGGCGCCCAACACGGCCCCCAGGCGGCCCCAAGAGGCTCCCAGGAGGCGCCCAGGACAGCCCCACACACACCCAAGACGGCCCAAGAGCGCTCCAAGAGAGCCCAAGACCGCCGAAAACAAACCCAAGACGGCCCAGGAGGCCTCCACGACGGCCCCAGAGACGCCCAAGAGGCGTCCAAGGATGGCCCCCAGAGGCGAAAATCATCGTTTTCCAGAAGAAAAACGATCATTTCTAGCATGCGCTGCTTGTCGGGAATATGGCGCACAAGCTGGTTCCAGGTCCCCACGACCGCCCCAAGACGGCCCAAGAGGCCCCCAAGACGCACGAAAACCGGCCCGAGAGGGCGTCAAGAGAGCCCAAGAGGCGCCCAAAACGGCTCCAGGGCGACACCAGGAGGCTCCCAGGACGGCCCAAGGTATCCCCAAGACGCTCCAAGAGCGCTCCACGACAAGCCAAGACTGCCTTTTGCGGCGCCAAGACGGCCCAAGACGCCTCTACGACGGCCCAAGAGACGCCGAAGAGGCTTCCCAGGAGGGCCACAGGAGGCTACAATTATCGCTTTCCCGACGGAAGCCGTACACATGTCAGCATCTCCGGCTTTCCGGGTTTCATGGCGTAGACGACGGCCCAAGAGGCCCCCAACACCGCCCCAAGACGGCCCAGGAGGCTCCCACAGGGGATCCACACCGGCCCGACGGAGCGTCAAGACATGTAGCCGAAGAGCCGCCCAAGACGGCCCGGCAGGGCCGCAATACGGCCCCCAGAGCTTCCCAACACGGCCCAAGGTTCCCCCAAGACGGCCCCAGAGCGCTCCAAGAGGTGTCGAAGATAGCGGGGCGAGGCACCAGTGTGCCATTTCAGGAGCCTCCCTGAGCTCCTGCTCCTCCTCCTCCTCCCCCACCTCCTCCCCCTTCCCCACCTCCTCCCCCTCCTCCTCCTCCACGTCCTCCTCCTCCTCATCCTGCTGCTGCCCCTCCTCCTCCTCCTCCTCCTCCTCCCCCTCCTCCTCAGGAGGACACCCAAAATGGCCCCCAACGCCGATAGAAGCCACCGAGATGTCCCGAGCATGACCCGAAGGAGGCCCCAAGACGGTCCAGACACACCGAGATGGCTCCTAAAGAAGATCGACTGGATGACCGATCCAGGGGAGGACGAGGAGGGCGGCCAAAATGGCCCAAAAGCCGATATTAGGAGCCACAGAGATGTCTCGAGCATGCCCCGAAGAAGGCCCCAAGAGTGTCCAGACACCGCGAGAAGGCTCCTGACGCGCAGCCCAAGTAAACCAAAGTGACAATTACTTGACAGTTTCTCCAGCGTCCTATCGACCCTCGACCCTCGACCCTCGACCCTCGACCCTCGACCCTCCAGCGTCCTATCGGTGATCCTCCCGTGCACCGGGCGCCTGAGCGGCCCCAGTGCGGGCCGTCTCGGCGCCCTCTTGCGGGCCTCTTGGGTCGTATATCACGCGGCCCCAGCTAAGGTCAGATAAAATTATCACGGAGACCACCCGCCCCGCAAAAAGCTATGATGAACACAGAGCGCGGCGTGAGAAACAGCTTCTGTCCACACCACGTTGTGCCTACATGCGTTCCTGCCTTCAGGCCTGCTTGCCTGCATCCCTCGCCCACCTCCCCATTCAGCGGCCACTTCCTCCATCCACTCCGTCCCCTCCAACCTCCCCCCCGCGAGGCCCCGGAGGCGCTACATTTCCACGTCCACACCATGGCGGGCAGACTTCGCGGCCGGAAGGCCGCGGGTCAGCCCTAGTCAGCTACAACGCTGGGATCAGCGCGTGCGAGAAGGGCGAGCAGTGGCAACCGGCGCTGGCACTGCTGAGCGAGATGCGGGAGGCGAAGCTGGAGCCCGACGTCATCAGCTGCAGCGCTGGGATCAGCGCGTGCGAGAAGGGCGGGCAGTGGCAGCCGGCGCTTGCGCTGCTAAGCGAGATGCGGGAGGCGAAGCTGGAGCCCAACGCCATCTCTACTACATTGCAGGGCCCCGCGCGTGCGAGAACTGTGGGGGTCGGACACGTTCCTCCAGCGCCCCTTGCGTGCCCCCGCGAGCCTTAGCTGGCCTCGGCGCGCGTCCAAGAAGGCCCAAGAGCGCTCCGAGACCCTATCCGAACTTCCCGAGAGGACCCCAGCCAAGATAGCCTCCAGACGGTCCAAGAGGCGCTCAAATTGCTCCAAGTGGGCTCCAAGAAGAGCCCCGAGAGAGCCCGAACGAGGAAAAATCCTCCAAATCCTTACGGAAGCGTCTATTTTGGCAATTCCCGTGCATTTCGTTTTCAAAGCGCCCAAGACGACAATACTGTCTCCCAAGATCGTCACAAGAGGGCCCAGGAGGCCTCCGGGAGGGCTCCAGGACGGCCCATGGCGGTCCCAGGACGGCTCTTGAGGCGCCCGTGACGGCCCAACTGGCTCCCATGACAGCCCCAAGAGGGGCCAAAGAGGACCCAAGAGAGCCCCAAGGCGGTCCGAGAACAGCCCCGGAGCCGCCCAAGACGGTCCCAGACGGCCCGAAAACGGCCCAAGGGGCAGCCAAGACGGCCCAAGAGGGGCCCCACCAATAATTAGGCTCCCAGGAGGCCGCCACACGGGCCAACATGGCCCCAAGAGTTTCTTACAAGGCGGAACAGAAGCCCCGGGGCGCGGCCACACCCACGGAAAATGAAACCCGACTTCGAGGTTTATTTTCCGACGCCCTGTGGCGGAGCAATCAACCCTCGCCCAGGACGTTCGTCGATTCGCCACGTCCACGGAATACCAGTACCTACTTCGAAATCTTCCCCCCAGGCTCCAGATGGGGCACAGACGTCTCGCCTGGATCGTTCGTGGATCAACGGCGCCCACGAAAAAGACTCCGTAACCTCGAAGGCCATTCTCCATGGTCCCGCGGTCGGCCGAGAAAACGCCCCCCAAGACCATCCCTCGGCCCGCCACGTCGACGGAAAATAAACACCACGTTCGAGGTTCATTATCCGAGGTCCCAGGTGGGCTCCAGGGTTCTGAAGAGACGTCTTTCGTCAACCTGCGCTTTGGCGCTTTCTCTGGAGTTTTGGGTTTCGTTTCTGCGGAGATGGAGGGTGGAGGAGAAACTAATTTTGTGTCAGAGAAGGGCGCGCAGCGGTTCTACCCTCCAGCTCGGCGCACCCCTCACACGGCTCATGGCTGCATACGGAGCGCTGCCCGTCTCCGAGGGTGCGGGCACAAGGGCGCGAATGTTAAAGGGCCTCGCGCGGCGCAGCGCCGCGAGGTGTTTGGGGGGCGCAGGATATGGGCGTGCTTCGGAGAGGCGGCCCAGGCGATGGACGCAGAGAGGATGCCGGCCTTTCCCCAGGCTCGGGCCAGACAAAATCGGCGGAGGCCGAGTTCACACACGGACAGTTCGCCTTCAGGAAGTCTCCTCGCCGCCACGGCTGGACGCAGCAGATAACACTGGTGCGCTTCGACAGTGGGGGGGGGCCCAGGGATCGATTCTGACAGCTCTGCCCCCCCCCCCCTCCTCGGCCGCGACAGGCTGTGCAGGCTTGCGGGACGCCCCGCCAGTTCGACGTAGTGTGGGCCCCAACCACCGGCCAGGCGCTGGCGGCGCGCCGCGCGCAACCGTCATCGTCGTCGTCGCTGCCACTGCCAACGTCCAAGCGGGGCGCTGCTGGAGAACGGGCTCGCGCCATGTGGATAGTCTTCTGGCAGCGTTTCCGCCGCTCCCCCTGGAACCATCTCGGCAAGATGTCGTGGACGGAGTCCGCGAGTCAGCCCCCACAGCCTCTACTACAACGCAGGGGCCCGCGCGTGCGGGAAAGGCGGGGCTCGGGAAAAAAGCACAGTCGGCTCTAGACGGCTCCAAGACAGCCCCGAGAGACGCTCAAGAGGCCGCCACGCTGGCCCACGGACGGCTCCGAGCTGCTCAAGAGGCCGCCTCGACGGCCCCAGAAGCCCCCAAGGCAGGTCAGGAGGCTCCCAAGACGGCCCTGGATGACCTCCCAGAACAGCCCCAAGACCCAAGAGGCCAAAATCGCCCCATTCCTTTTGGAAAACGCATATTTAGGGCATTCTCGTGATTTTCGTTTCCGACGCGTCCACGACGGCCATGGAGGCCCCCAAGATCTCCCTAAGATGCCCCCATGAGGGCCCCACGACGACCCAAGACGACCCCAGGACGGTCCAAGAGGCGCCCCTGGCGGCCCACGGGGTACCCAAGACAACCTCAGGAGCGGCCCAGGACGGCCCAAGACGACCGCCAGACGGCACCCAGACTGCTCCAGAGACGCCCAAGGCTGACCCAGGCAACCCCCAGACGGCCCCGACGACGCCTCAGACAGCCTCCAGACAGCCCAAGGGGTTTCCAAAACGCTCCAAGTGGGCCCCACGACGAGCCCCAAGAGAACAAGAACACCGAAAAATCGTCCCATCCCCTGGGGGGAACGTGCATTTTGGCGCCCTAGGACGGCTCCTGAGGCGCCCCTGACGGCCCACGGGGTACCAAAGACGACATCAAGAGCGGTTCAGGACGGCCCAAGACGACCGCCAGACGGTACCCAGACTGCTCCAGAGACGCCCAAGGCTGACCCAGGCAACCCCCAGGCGGCCCCGACGACGCCTCAGACGGCCTCCAGACGGCCCAAGGAGCTTCCAAGACGCTCCAAGTGGGCCCCACGACGAGCCCCAAGAGAGCCCGAACATCTCAAGAGTTGTCCCATCCACGAGGGAAACCTACATGTTGGCAGTTCCTGGGCTGCCCTCTTCATGCGTCCAAAGCGGCCGTGCAGAGGCCCAAGCTGGCCCCAGGACTGCGCGCGAGGCGCCCCCGGCGGCCCACGGGGCGCCCAAGACGGCCTCGAGCGCGGCCCAGGACGGCCTCAGACGACCCCCCGACGGTGCCCAGACTGCTCCCGAGACGCCCAAGACGGCCCCAGACAACCCTCAGACGGCCCCGGACCGCTTCCACACGCCCCGGGAGGCCCCCAACAAGGCCCAAGAGGCTTCCAAGAGTCTCCAACAGTCCTCCGAAGCATGTCCCCAGAGGCCAACATCCTTAATGTTTCAATTGTTTTTGAAGGAGTTTTGCGTTCTCGCCTTCTCGGCTAGCCGACGCTCCAAGACGGCCGAAGAGACCCACAAGGCCGCCCCAGGACGGCCCAACAGGCCTCCAAGCGCGTCCCCAGTCGACCCAGCGAGCCCCAAGATGGCCCAAGAGGCGCCCAACACGGCCCCGGAGGACCCCAAGCCAGGCCCAAGAGGGGGCCAAAGAACAGGGATAAACCCTGACACTCCGAGCCCTGGGCCCCCATACGCCTACACAAGGCCCCAAGACCCCTCCCAAGGGAACGCTAAGAGGTTCCCAGAGGCCCCCAAGAGTCCCCAAAGTACGCCCCACGAGGCCCCAAGACGGCCCCCAAGAGGCCCCACAAGAGGCTCCACGGAGCGTCCAAGAGGCCCCCTAGAGGCCCCCAACAAGGCCCAAGAGGCCTCCAAGAGCCTCCAACAGTCCTCCGAAGCATGCCCCCAGAGGCCAACATCCTTCATTTTTCAATTGTTTTTGAAGGAGTTTTGCCGTCTCGCCTTCTCGGCTAGCCGACGCTCCAAGACTGCCGAAGAGACCCACAAGGCCTCCCCAGGACGGCCCAACAGGCCTCCAAGCGCGTCCCCAGACGACCCAGCGAGCCCCAAGATGGCCCAAGAGGCGCCCAACACGGCCCCGGAGGACCCCAAGCCAGGCCCAAGAGGGGGCCAAAGAGCAGGGATAAACCCTGACACTCCGAGCCTTGGGCCCCCATACGCCCACACAATGCCCCAAGACCCCCCCCCCAAGGGAACGCCAAGAGGTTCCCAGAGGCCCCCAAGAGTCCCCAAAGTAAGCCCCACGAGGCCCCAAGACGGCCCCCAAGAGGCCCCACAAGAGGCTCCACGGAGCGTCCAAGAGGCCCCCTAGAGGCCCCCAACAAGGCCCAAGAGGCCTCCAAGAGCCTCCAACAGTCCTCCGAAGCATGCCCCCAGAGGCCAACATCCTTCATTTTTCAATTGTTTTTGAAGGAGGTTTGCCGTTTCGCCTCCTCGTCTAGCCGACGCTCCAAGACGGCCCAAGAGACCCACACGGCCGCACCATGACGGCCCAACAGGCCTCCAAGCGCGTCCCCAGACGACCCAGGGAGCCCCAAGATGGCCCAAGAGGCGCCCAAGACGTCCCCGGAGGACCCCACGCCAGGCCCAAGAGGGGGCCAAAGAGCATGGATCAACCCTGACACTCTGAGGCCCCAAGACGGCCCCCAAGAGGCCCCAATGCTGCCTCCAAGAGGCACCCCAGGCGCCTCTGAGCCATTACCCAGGCACAGGCACGGTGCCAGATTTTGCCGAAGGTCATGAGGCTTTCTAGACGGCCCCACGGTGGTTGCTTTCCCTGAAGGCCCTGAGACTTCCTAGACGGCCCAAGACGGCCACCCGACTCCCAGGATACCTCCTACCCGCCTCAGGAGCTTCCCGTGATACCTCCCAGACGATGCCAGACGGCCTCAGCGCTCGAAGACGTCCGCGATAGGTTCCACTGGCCCGAGACAGCTCCAATATGCTCCATCTGGGCTCGAAGCAGCGCTCCAATAGAGCTCGAACGCGGAGACATCTGCCCCAATCCCTCAGGAAAGCGGCAACTTGGGCTCTTCCCCTGCTCGTCGTCTTCAAAGCGTCCGACATTGCCATGCACCCAAGATCGCACAAAGACCCCTCAGGTGCCTCCCATCACGGCGTCAAAACGGCCCTGGACGGCCCCAGAACGCCTCTGGAGATCCCCAAGACGCCCCGAAGATGGACCCAAGCCGGTCATTACACCGCCCTCTGGTAGTCGCCTCCCTGGAGCGCCTTCTTAGACCCAGGCAGAAGCGCGTGCCAAAAGGGCAGGCCGTCAAGTGGCTAAGATCGCCCCTTTACGGCCCCACCCCGTGGTCGAATCGCCCACGAGGGCCCAAGAGGCGCCCCAGAGGGGTTGCACGACGCTCCAAGAGCGCTCCCAAGACGGCCTCAGTTGTTCCCGAGACGGGCCTCGAGGCCCCAACAATTTCAGGTGGCTGCAAGACGGCCCAAGGGGCCCCAAAGACGCTCCGAGAGGGCCCCGAGAGGACGCCAACGAGGCACAAGTCGTCACATTCCGATGGGAAAGCGTACATGTTCAGCAAATCCGCTTTTTGCGTTGTTGCACGGGCCAGGACAGGCCAAGAGGCCAAGAGGCCCCCCAAACCCCAAGATGACCCAAGCTGCCCCCAAGAGGGCTCCTAAGACGGCCCATGACGGCACCAGGACGGCCCAAGACGGCCCCATGACTGCTACTGAGGTGCCCAAAGGCAGCCCCAAGAGCGGCCAAAGACGGCCCAAGACGGCCCCAAGCCAGCCCCAGAGGCGTCCAAGACGGCCTCAGACGGCCCCAAGACGGCCCAACACCCAAGACAGCCCAAGAGGCCCCCAGGAGGCCGCAAGACAGTCCAAGGGGGCCCCAAGAGGCCCCCAGAAGGCTGACAAGAAACCCCGACAGGCCTCCAAACGGTTCCCAAGGAGAAGGGAGCGCCCGCCATCAGTGGCCGTTTAGGGAGCGTTGCCCTCCTCCGTGGGTGCGGGCGGGCGCGAGCGAAAGTTCGCCGAATAATGAACAGCAACATGAGCACGACATCTCTTTACCATTGCCTCCCAGCTCCAGGGCGCCCTTCGCCACTGCCGCCCAAGTGAGGCGAGATACACCAGAGGCCCCAGGGAGCGCAGTCCACAACACAGTTTGATCCCAGAGGGGCGCGGAGACGGCACCCAAAAGTACGTGGCTCCCTGCGCGTCCACAGTGAGCTCCCATGCACAGTCCACCGTGCGACATTCCGAGTGCCCTGGGGCACCATCGATCTTTTCCGTGGGCACGACGCAGACAGCAGCAGCGGCGGCACACACCGGCAGCAAGCAGCGGCAGGCAGCGGGTAGAAGCACGCACCAAGCGGAATTGGCCAGCAGCAACAACCTGCAGCCACAAGCAGCAAGAACACGCAGCAGCGGCCTCAAGCACTACCAACAGTACGCAAAAGCGGCAGCAAGCAGCAGCACGCAGTAGCATGCGCGGAATGTCAGGTCGGGCCCCGCAATCAGATGCCAGTTCGTGCAGATTTTGTGGACGGAGTCCGCGGGTCAGCCCTACCGACGTCGCCAGCCTCATTCCCACCACCACCACGACAACGACGCCGAGTGCGACGGGTACGACGGCGGCCTCGCGGCGGCGACGACAACGACGACGCCGACGATGGCGGCGACGGCGTCCCCGCGACGGCCAAGCTGCTGGAGCGCTGCGAGAGCTCGGACACGAGGGCGCGGTCTCGCTGCCGCCGCCCTGGCCACCGCCGTGCTTATAGGTTTTCGGCAAAATCTCCGCCGTTCCTCCGAAAACCATTCCAGAAAGATGTCGTGGACGGAGTTCACGGGTCAGCCCTAGTCAGCTACAGCGCTGGGATCAGCGCGTGCGAGAAAGGCGAGCAGTGGCAGCCAGCGCTGGCGCTGCTGAGCGAGATGTGGGAGGTGAAGCTGGAGGCCAACGTCATCAGCTGCAGCGCTGGGATCAGCGCGTGCGAGAAGGGCGATCAGTGGCAGCGGGCGCTTGCGCTGCTGAGCGAGATGTGGGAGGTGAAGCTGGAGCCCGACGTCATCTCTACCGCAATGCAGGGGCCCCCGCGTGCGGGAAAGGCGGGCCACGGGGAAAGCGCAGTCAGCGCCCCGGCGGCCCCTGCGAGCCCCGGAGAGCCCCCAGACGGCTCCGAGCCGCTCAAGAGGCCGCCTCGACGGCCCCAGAAGCGCCCAAGGCAGGCCAGGAGGCTTCCAAGACGGCCCTGGAGGACCTCCCAGGAGAGCCCCAACAGGCCGAAATTGTCCCATTACCTTCGGAAAGCGCATCTTTTGGGCATTTCGTGCTTTTCGTTTCCAACGCGCCCACGACAGCCATAGAGGCCCCATATCGCCCGAAGATGCCCCCATGAGGGCCCCAAGACGGCCCAAGACGACCCCAGGACGCCCCAAGAGGTGCCCAAGACGGGCCAGACGGCCCCAAGACAACCACCCAAGAGGCAAACCAAGACGGCCCAAGAGGGCCCTCAGAGCCCCCAGAACGCCTTAAAACGGCCACACCACAGCTCTTGAGGCGCCCATTGCGGCCCTTAAGATAGCTCCAGAGACGCCCAAGACGGCCCCAGAGATGTAACCCCCAGACGGCCCCGGACGGCCTCCACACGGCCTCCACACGGCGCAAGAGGCACCCGAGACAGCCCAAGAGGGCTCCAGGAGGCTTCCAGGAGGCCGAAGAGAAGCGCTGAAAGGCTCCCAAACGAGCCCCTCGAGGCACCAAAATCACGGCCCAAGCAGCACCGAAGACAGCACCAACAGCAGCCAAAGACGGCCTGAGACGGCCTGAAGACGGCCCCAAAACGGCTCCAAGCACACCATGGGCCGGTGGCAGAACCTGGCCGACTTTGGGCCAGCGGGCCGGTGGCCCAGAATCGGCTATATATGGGCCGCCTTGGAGGCGCCCGCGCCGTCCAGGGACGTGCCGGGCGGATTTCGAAGCTGGCGGCGCGGCGGCCCAGAATCGGCCCGCCGATTCGGGGCTGGAAGGCTGGTGGCCCAGAATCGCCCCGGCCGACCCTGGAAGCGCGCGCGGCCGCCCAGGGCGCGCCGGGCCCGCCCCGGAGGCGCGAGGATCGGCCCAGGGCGCGCTGGGCGGGATTCTTGGCTGGTGGCGCGGCGGCCCATCCCGCCGGTGCCGATTCTGGGCTGGCGGGCCTGCGGGCCAGCATCGTCCCGGGCCGACCCGAGGAAAGCGCGCGCGGCGGGCCCAGGGCGCGCCGGGCAGGATGCTGGGCCGGCGGCGTGGCGGCCCAGAGTCGGCCCCGCCGCTTCTCGGCCGGCGGGTCGGGAGCCCCAAATCGGCTGCGGCGCTGGGGGCCCAGACCTCCTCGCGTCGTGAAAAAATCACGACGGGAGGCTTTCCGCTATTTTCGGCCCCCGCGGGGGCCCTTGCCGGGCCTCGGGACCGTCAAAAAACGACTCGGGACGAAAAGCCGGTCCCGGGGAAGGGGTCCAGACCTCTGGAGGTCGACGTTGCGAAAAAATCACGCGGCCGCCGAGGGCGCGCCATGGCGGGATTCTGGGCCGGCGGCGCGGCGGCCCAGAAACGGGCAGAGGCCCGCCCCGGAGGCGCGAGGATCGGCCCAGGGCGCGCTGGGCGGGAGTCTTGGCTGGTGGCGCGGCGGCCCAGAATTGGTCCCGCCGATGCCGATTTCGCAGGCCTAGAGATTGACACCAACACCAATATCGGCGGTGTGCATCCACCGAGGGAAGAAGATCCCGATCTCGGCGAGGGTGGTAATACTCTGGCTTCCAAGGTGGCCGAACTAGTACCACCAACACCGAAATCTAGGATCGTCTTCCCCTGTGGAGGCAACCCCCTGTGTTGGTGTTGGTGCCAATTTCCAGGCCTCCAATGATCCTGGGCCGGCGGGCCTGCGGGCCAGGTCCGGGCCGACCCGAAGAAAGCGCGCGCGGCGGCCCCAGCGCGCGCCGGGCAGGAGATTCTGGGCCGGCGGCGTGGCGGCCCAGAGTCGGCCCCGCCGATTCTCTAGGCCGGCTGGTCGGGGGCCCCAAATCGGCTGCGGCGCTGGGGGCGAGGGGCAGCCCAGACCTCCGACGTCGTGATTTTTTCACAACGTCGACCCCCAGAGGTCTGGACCCCTTCCCCGGGACCGGTTTCTCATCCCGACCCTGAGGGTCTCGCGCGCCGGATCTCAGCCCGGCAGAAGATGGGGAAGGTTTGAGGAAGCGGTCGTAATCCGACATAACATATTCATTTTATGTTCAGAACATGTGTTATACAAACGTACATAATTAGCACGCAAGTAATATTTAAGTACAGATCAGCACGTTGAGATGTAAATCGCAACATATGCATAAAAATCAACACGCGCCAAACAATGATTCGACACGTATGAAGGACAGGTTTGGGAGGGAAATAACATCATAACGTTTTTTTTTTTCGAATAAAGCACACGTTGCACGGGAATGTGACACCAGCTGCCTAGGCAGCCAACGGCATATAGCTGTGGATGTAAGCTAGATGGCGCAATGATGTACGAAGCATGTGCAGCATTAGTGGTGACATCATATTGCCATAATAACTCTACGATTAAGTTAATGAGTGCATTAGTTACTTCCTTTATGATTTATTGCTAGATATGGAGACATCTTCGCAATTTTAAACACACGGGAATAGTTCCTAGAATGCAGTTTCCGCTTGAGAACTTCGGTTCTTGCCCAAGATATCCTTATGAATCTGAGCATGCGGGAGTAATTGTAGTCGACGTCGTCGCCGACGTCGTCGTCGAACACGTTTTTATAGTTAGGTGTTGTGTTTGTTATAGTTGTGTTTGTCTTGTGTTTTTGAACTGCAGGAGGTTGGTCCCTCCAAGGGGAAAGTAGTGTCGTGGCTCCTGGCGGCAGGCACGGCGCCCGCAAAGCTTGCACTGTCGCGCAAGCGGTGACGCATGCTTACTGTACACGCAAGCGTCGGTGTTGCCAGTTGCCAGATCATTAATGCTCTAGATTCTAGATCGTGCTGTTCGGCGTGCGCGTGGTGCTGCGCGGAGTCCTGTCCGATGGCGAGGCTGGCGACTCCACGAGAAAAAACTCATCTGCTGATGCTGTCGACCGCTGGGCTGAGAAGTCCTTCCACTTTGACGGGTCCTTCACTTTCCAACCGTACGGTACCCAGCTCTCTGGGTTGTTCGGGTCCCACGGGATAGATGGTTCCAGCCCGTTCTCTGTCTTGGTAGCTTCAGTCGTGTAGTCGATCCACCCTTGCGGGTTCTTGACCTGCCAGCCGTATGGGACCCACGTTTTCTCGTCATCTGGGTCCCACCAGTGAAGGGAGCAAGGGTTCATCGCACGCTTGTTGTAGTCCAAGTTCTCGTCCTCCTGCGACTTCGTGAAGTCGCGCTCCATGCCGAAGGGCCCCGTCATCGATATGTCATCTTGCAGCACCGCCTTGGCACAGCTGATGTGGTCGATGGCCTTGTTGATCGTCTCGAGCTGCATCTTCATCATCGTGATGTTGGTGTTCAGCGACATGCACTTCGCTGGGGTGCCGCACCGTTCCGCCTCGCCGCGGACAATGCTCATGCTGAGTGACCGTTGGTGTTCCTTCAGCAACTCGTGGCCTGCCTGGAATGATTCCACTGCAGCGTTCACCACGCTCGTGCTGCTCTTCAAGATCTGCTGCGACTGATGGATGCGGTAGTCGTCTGAACCGATCTCCTGCGCCCACGGCCGACCTCCGCGCTCCATGGCCGAACGATCCATGGATGTCGGCCTGCGGCGCTGCGCCTGGGACGTGGCGCCCTAGGCTGCACTCGAAAGTTCGAGCCAAGACTGGCAACGGAGTGAAGGGCAGACTGAAGCCCTGACGCTTCTTAAGTCCGAAGACATTCAACCACCACCACCAACCCCCTGGGCGTAGGTGGTTTAGGGAGCTTCCTCTTCCAACCACAGTCTTCCGCGGGGAGGGGTTTGTCCCGCTGTCCCACTCCCTCTCCTGGACATGGACGGGTGAAAGGGGGGGGGTGCCAGGGCGCCCAACAATGCATCAGTTTTTTTAATGTGGTGGCCACGTGTTTGCATATTTGGGGGGAGGCAATGCGAATTGCAACCGCCACCGCATTTGACAGTTGTCCTCCAACATGGCCCCAAGAAACGCACATGAGGCTCAAAGAGGCCCAGCCATTGCCCCACGATGGCCCGAAGAGGCCACCATCACCAAGATGGCCCCACGCTGCCCAACCAGTCCCATCCTCGTTCCCCACGGCACCCAAGCCGCCCACGCGCACCCCAGGACCGCCAAGAGACACCCACTAAGGCGCACCAAGAGGCCACCACGAAGCGCGGTATCACAAGAGGCTCCGATGGGCATCCACGAGACTTCGGGCCCTGTTGAGTACCAGTCTCCTCCTGCACCTCATTAATCCTCATACTCATGCTCTCCCCCCTCCTCCGCATCCTCATCCTCATCATCCTCATCTTTCTCCTCGCCCCCATCATCATCATCATATTCATCATCCGTGTCCCCACCCATCCGTCCATGATGCATCTAAGCTCAGCCTTGCTCCTCTTCATCCTACCTCCTTCGCGCGGCTCGGTCGGTCCATGCGTGCCCCCGCGCGTCGTTGATCACCTCAACTTGCCTGGACGTCGTTTCTGGATGAGTTGGCGGGGATGCGCGGAGCGTCCACACTTTCAACAGGCTTCATTGGTTTTGCATGAGTTGTGCAACCGACGTGTTGGTTATATGTGTGCAGTTGCTAACTCAGAGACTACGTAAATGCATGCATGCGAGTGCCCATAGCGTTTACAATGCACGCCATCCACATGTTGTGTTGTTACATTTACCCCAGCTCATCGCATCATCAATCCTGATTCCGTTTCAGAACGGACGCGTTACAGCATATGTGTGTCGTTGTTTCGGTTCGGGGCGATGTATGTTTGGAGGGTGGCCCGAGGATAATGATGGTGTCTTGCGATGGGCAGGCGCAGTGCATCGTTTGATGATGATGGTGATGATGCGGAGGGGGTGGGCGGATGCATCGCCGATTGGCCCATTGGAT